CTCCGCGCCGGGTGGGCGGGGCTCGGTTTCGCCGTGCGCTGGCGGAGTCTGGTGGTGTTCTGAGGGGAGGCCGAGGAGTTGATTCCTTAGGTGTCACGGGCTGGTGGGAGATGGCGGTGAGAAACGCGCTGAACAGCTGTTTCTGGGCTGGGGTTTGTTAGCCGAAGCGGATATTTTTCTCCCCAAATGTATCGCACGCATTTTCAACCTGCAGCAAATTGTTGTGAACAGTATTTCTAGAAGAAGCATCAATAATTGCTGTATGCTGTCACCTCCATGTGCGTTTATGAAATGTTTTACTTTTTTGATTTAGATTACGTGGACAAGCCTTTGGAAAAGCCTTTAAAGCTGGTGCTTAAGGTGGGAGGAAGTGAAGTGACTGAGCTTTCCGGGTCAGGGCATGATTCCAGTTACTATGATGATCGATCAGATCACGAGCGAGAACGACATAAAGAGAAGAAGAAAAAAAAGAAAAAAAAGTCTGAGAAGGAAAAAGAAAAGCATCTAGATGATGAGGAAAGAAGAAAGAGGAAGGTAGGCAGTGATTTTTAGAATTCAGACATACCAGTTTTCTTCATGCTGGCTCTTCAGATCTAAAATCTGACTCGGAGTACCAGAACCTTTGGGGTTTTTTTGTTTGTTGGTGTTTGGGGTTTTTTTTTTAAGTCACTGTTGCAAGAAGCTTATTGTTTGGAGACAGCATTTCACAAATGTAGAAAACCCGTGTGTGTTGGTGTATTTCTCTCATTTAAAAGAGATATCTCTGTGATGCTTTTTTGAACAAAGCAAAAGCTTGTTTCTTCTAACTGCTTGTTTTGCTTTTCCGTTTGCTTTGTCTGTAGGTATAAATACTTCTGGTTTTAAGTTGGATGTTTTGTATTTCAGCCAGGTCAGAAACATGTTTTGCTACCCTTTAAGGAGAGTATCTTCAGCTTTTTGAATACGTCTGGACTGCATTTCTTTTCCTGAGATATGCCAAGTTACTGGACACTGAAATTGATATTTTTACTCAAAACAGCTTTCTGAAATCTGATCTGCTGAGTACTGTAGTACAATAGTCTTGTTATCTCTTGTTTAGAATAAGCCGCATGCTAGGCTTTGTGGCTTTGTTAGTAGCAAATGTTGTGGTCACCTTAGTTGTCTGTGCTGAACCTTTAGGAGTTAGGTTGAAATCGGCAGGAAGGCATTGACAATACAGTTAACTGTACAATTTCATTTTAATAGTATTTCTTTTGTGTACTAATGACTATCTGACCTCTCTGCTTTTTAAGTTCTATTCTATCATGTAGTTTTACTGTTCTCATATGACAGTTTTTTTGGTACTACTTTGTAAGTGTATATGGCTAACATTTGTCATTTTGGATTGATTTGTTTGTTGGGCTCATATTACTTGAAAGTGATTGTTTTGTAGGATCATTCAGAAGCTGTTGAATACAGGGCAGATAGTGGAAAATTTTCTTTGTAGAAACGTTTTGAAATGTTTCAGTGAAGAATATGGCTGGAAGTTGAAATGTAGCAACACAACTGTCTTTGATACAAGATCTTGCAGCATCAGATCAAATTACTTGTTTTACCTTTGCTAAATTGTGGTGGATTTTTGTTTGGATTTTTTCCCCCCAGAACTTCGTTATTAGTGCATGCAGAAGAAGCTAACTGATCAATAAGTAACAAAACTGTAGTCTAAACAAGGTTAATGAAAGTATGTTTTTCTGTGTGAACATGAATAATGACTATAAGATTAGAGGAATGACTCAGGCATGCCTTTGCTTTAAAGCTCAGGAAGAGATCATTAATTGCCACCACTGTTACAGAGCATTCTTTTGTAGGCTTCCTAAATTATCGCGTAGTTCAATGATTACTGTTTGATGCACCAGACAGCAATAACACATTGATCAAAGCACAGCTACAGACTGATCTTTACTGAATAGTAAATTAACTTCCTTTACTGTCTGGTGTTGCTAATTGTCATACAATTTTACATATAAATAGCTTCCGAGTTTTAACACTATTTTCAGTAAAAGTACAGTAACTAATGATAGAACAATAGTAAATTAAATACAAAGAATCAGAAGGTGAACAGTGTTAGTTTTAATTGGAGAAGAAAATTTAAAAAGTGACAGTGAAAATTTATGCGCTATTGTTTAAACCATATTATGACTCATATAGAATAAGTATTGTAAATGAAAAATTGCTGTGTCTTACCTTTTGGTATGTGGGATTGCATATTCCAAGTATGTTCTTCTAAAATCTGTCTTCTTCCTGGTGGGCTAGGAAGAGAAAAAGAGGAAAAGGGAGAAAGAACAGTGTGACACTGAAGGAGAAACTGATGATTTTGATCCTGGGAAAAAAGTGGAGGTTGAACCACCTCCAGATCGTCCTGTCAGAGCATGCAGAACTCAGCCAGGTGAGCAGTGTGAAAAACGAAATTGTCTTGGGTGTTTTTAAGAGCACACACAACAGTGTTTTTGTCAAATGTACCAAAACTGTAAATTTTCCATGAAGATTTACTGAAATCTGGGAACTTTATTTTTTCCAACATTCAGAACTTTCTGCTATCTGAAAAATCAATATTCTTCTTGGGGGGTTTTAGTAGGTTTGTTTTCATATGGCTGAACTTGCCAAGGATGCCTGTCTCTGGCTTCTGTTACTTGGCAGAATAAAGGATTCAATGCACGGACCACTTGGTGGATGAGGAATTCGCTGGATGGTTGCACTCAAGAGTTGCGGTCAATGGTTTAATGTCCAGATGGGAACTAGTGACGAGTGGCGTTCCTCAGGGGTCGGTGTTGGGACTATTTCTGTGTAACATCTTTGTCAGGGACACAGACAGTGGGATTGAGTGCACCCTCAGCAAGTTTGCTGACGACACCAAGCTGTGTTATGCAGTCAACACGCTGCAGGGAAGGGATGCCATTCAGAGGGACCTTGTCAGGCTTGAAATGTTGGCCCATGTGAACCTCATGAAGTTCAACAAGGCCAAGTGCAAGGTCCTGCACGTGGGTTGGGGCAGTCCCAAGCACAAGGGCTCGGCGGACAGTGCATTGAGAGCAGCCCTGCCAGGAGGGACGTGGGGGTGTTGGTTGATGAGAAGCTCATCATGACCCAGCAGTGCACGCCCAGAAGGCCAACTGTATCCTGGGCTGCATCAAAAGCAGCATGGTCAGCAGGTCGAGGGAGGTGGTTCTGCCCCTCTACTCTGCTCTGGTGAGACCTCACCTGGAGTCCTGTATCCAGCTCTGGAGTCCTCAGCACAGGAGAGGGGTGGACCTGTTGGAGTGGGTCAGGAGGAGGGCCACAAAAATGATCCGAGGGCTGCAGCACCCCTCCTGTGAGGAAAGGCTGAGACAGTTGGGGTTGTTCAGCCTGGAGGAGAGAAGGCCCCGGGGAGGTCTTATGGCAGCCTTCCAGTACCTGAAGGAGGCCTAGAAAAGAGCTGGAGAGGGACTTTTTACAAGGGCATGTAATGATCTAGTGGAATGTGTCCCTGCCCATGGCAGCGGGATTGGAACTAGATGATCTTTAAGGTCCTTTCCAGCCCAGACTGTTCTGTGATTCTGTGATTCTATGATTATTGTGCATAGTGTTCCCCTAATTCCTTCTCCTTAGCATTTCCTCAGAATTTGCAGAGCAGTGGTCAGAATGTCTGAAACTACATTTTGCTCAGTTCAAGGGAAAAAAATCTTGTGGAGGCTGCTTAGCTGTTGTTACGGTCTTTTTTATAATCACTGTGGAGTTTAAATTTTAGTATCTGTATTTTCATTAAAAGTGTGGCAGTAAGTTGTGATAGGGTGTCTCTGAAGATCATAGTCCCCCAAGTTTTCATTTACCAATCTTATTTAATTCTCATCACCAGCCAAAATACTGATCAGTTGTGAGTGGCAACTTCTGCATGTTTCATCCCTTCAGATTTTGGCCGTACTTTCTCTACCTGTAGCAGTTGCTCGATAGTTAAAATTCAATATTATCCAGTGGAAACTTTTACTTACAAGAATCTTCAAATAGATCATGATCTCAGTAAACATATGCTTGGAAATGGAACTTAGTAGCAAAAAGTTGGATCTTTAGGAGTGTTGTGAATCTTGTCTTTGGGACACTGCCCATTGACTCATCCAAGTAATTTATTGAGGAATTTTCTAATTATGACTGCACATTAAATTGAGGAATGGTGTCCATCAGCAGTCAAGGGGACCTAATAGGGGTAACTGAAATTTTCTGGTCAAAACTTTGTATCTCTGGATAGTCTGGAGCATTATAAAACTGACAAGCTAAAAACTGATCTCTATATTGACAAGGCTTCTATTTTCATCTGCTTGGAAAATGTCATTCGAAATCATATAAATTATGTTACTTGTTCTGGTTAGGAAAGGATATGTCTCTCCATTATCACGATGAAGAGTTGGACTTTTAATTCTAGATTTCAGCATGCTGCTTCTTTAGTTTTTCAAACTTCACATTAAAGCTAGTCTCTCTGAAGTAATGTGGGGTGTTTATTGTTTAATCTGTACAAGGAAGTACCTCTCTTGCCATCAAATCTGCATCTATTTGTCACTCTTTGATTGAAAAGATTCAGAGAAGCTAATTGCATGGGTGTTATGGTAAAAGAAGCCATTAAAATTGCACTGGTAACATGTAAGAATGTGGATTTCCCAACTGTAGTATTTGAGCAGCCAAGTTTCACTTTTCTTTTCATGTGAAAATACATTAACACCTTACTTGCACCTTATTAATACATTTTCTTACAATTGCTAGACTTAGCATTACATCTGATTTAGTGTCTACTAATTTTTAATGTGATTAAAGCTCAGTAAGTAGTGAAGCAGAAGAAATAGTTACTGTATGCTTAGAAATCTGATGTGCTTCTGCTTTAACATCCATGTCTCATTGACCTTCAGATCAGTACAAGCTGTACTTGTAATTAAGATTTTCTCTCTGGTATTTATATTTTTAAATAAATAAATATACCTATATTCTGTTTCATTGCACTTACCTGTTTCCGTCTCAAACTGCAGCTGAAAATGAGAGCACACCAATCCAGCAGTTACTAGAACACTTCCTTCGCCAGCTTCAGAGGTATTAAGTGTGTTGTATCTACAGCTGTGTTGACAGTGTCTAATGCATAATTGTATGTGTTCCTTTACAACTTACCCTGATTCTCTGTTTGCAAATAGTGCCTAAAGGTTGCCTGTAATATTTTTGGTAACCTTTGCAACCATGTCAGCCCTGGTAGTTTATGATGATTAGTCGAGGAAAATTATTACCAACTATGCAATTCTGGCTTTTGGCAGGGAAGTGTTTTGGGCAGAGGATGTGTTGCCATTATGAATTTATTAAATATTAATGACTTAGTTTAGGAGTTAAAAAACAGTAGTTTTAATAGTTTAAAAGATTGAACTATTCTCATGAAATTTTGTTTTATTCTGTGTCCTCTGTCAGTTACCAAAGCAAGTTTTTGTCTGCTTACTGTTGGAGAGGCTTTTTATTTTATTGCTTTCTGTGAGATGTTAACTCTGTATCTCACTGTTTTGAGAAGAAAAAACAAATATTTCGTTTTGCTTTTTTATTACATAGCAATAAGCTGAATTTGGAACTGATTTGAAGATACTGAACACTGTAGTTATTCTTAGAGGAGCTCATGAGCAAAAAGAATTTGGAAGGTTATTACTCAATGAAGCCAAAAGACCCGTTTGGAGTGTAAATAGAGACACACAAAGCATACAAGAAATAATTAAGTAATTCAAGAACTGGCTGAATCTTTTTCAAAAAGTTTACATATGTGTAATCAAAATTCTCTCCTGTATCAGGAAATTTTTCAAATATGCTTCTGTTTTATGAGAGTGCTTTTAGTGTTTTTTCTTTTGAAGTAGTACTATTCTTTTTGTACTATTAATGTGCTATAAAAACAATGATAATTTTGTTTGCTGATAGAAATCTAAATGTATTGTTTTTATTTTTAGGAAAGATCCTCATGGGTTTTTTGCTTTTCCAGTCACGGACGCCATCGCTCCTGGATATTCCATGATAATAAAGCACCCCATGGATTTTGGTACAATGAAGGAAAAAATTGCAGCGAATGAATACAAATCAGTCACTGAATTCAAGGTGAATTGATAAGAGATTTTGTTATTTCAGAACTCTTTAGTAGGAAGCTGAAGATTCTTTTTAACTGTAGAAGCCTTTCTTACATTAATTATTTTAATACACATTTTTTCAGAGCTGAGCACGTTTGTATATTGTGTGTATTAGAATGGGTTTCTTGCTTTGATTTTCACTATGGAAGCTCTATATTTGTCAGATTCTATTACAGCCTCCTACAAATTACTGTGAAAACCAAGAACATGCTCTAAAGTTCTATGGAATTCATGCTGCTGGGCATAAACAGGAGTAAGACTATCGCAAAAGACTTAAAAGGCAATTTTGAAATGCCTGCAAGAAAACTGTGACTACACTAAAATGTTTTGTATAAGATTGAATAACAACTGCGTATTTTTTTATCTTTAATTATCCTGTGTTCCATATGCCTTTATTTGGAATGGTCTTTTGGTGGAAACTTACTTGGCAAGTTTATTGGCAACTTGCCTTCTCTATTTTGTCTATTGCTGTTGCTGTAGTACTCTGTTGGATGCATTGTGGTTTTACAGATAGTGCAGTAAGTAATCTTTTCATGGTATTGCTGGTTCATGAAGGAAAGGAGTTTTATTTAATTGATTCATGAAGTTCTGTTAGCTGCCTTCAGTATTACTGTTTACCAGAGTGGTGTTGATGTAAGACCAGACTTAGCAGAGAGCAATGGCTTGCTTCTTAGGGTTTATTTCTTGTTTTGAAAGGTCCAGCAGGGTGAGCAAAGAATGGCTTATATTTTCTGTAGGCACTTTGACAAAGATGATTCTGTTTTGTTATGTATGCTTTATTTTTCAAAAAAAAGTATAGAGATTTAGAGGAAATAGTAAAGAAGGATTCATAATAGCATTGTCATCAGCAGTGCCTTCAGGTCTCTAAATTCTGTTGGCTTGCTGGATTGTCTTGTTCAGCAGCTTAAAAAGGAAGGTTGAATGGGAGCTCTGTGGTTTGCTTTAGTTGCAGGCAAGGCTGATGTTGAACCTGGTGGGTTAGCAACCTAAAAAATATGAAAATCAAAGTATTGTTTAGACTGACAGATGCTTTTTTTCTGAAGGGCTTGTTTTCTGCTGATACTCTGAGGAGCAATAAATGGTTGCAAGAAGTCCGTCCATCTTACAGTGGCAGGTTGGACTCACTTTCTAGATATAGGAGTGTACCTAATTATACTTATGCCTTTGTAATTCTGTGTAATACAGAAATGAAGTTTATAGGTTCTTGACCTCTAAAACAAGGCCTGCTCAAAGGGTCATCTTTCATTTCTGATTTACCTATTATAACAAGCTGAGGCTAGTCACAAGCCAGTAAGTAATCTCTAAGAGTAGAATCCAAAATAACCATTTGATGCATTTAGAAGAGAGGAAAATTCTTTAGAAAACTTACCAGTTTTGCTGCCAAAAAAAGGGTCTACTTCGAAGCTGGACAAGAAGACTCTTCAATGTTCTTTTCTGCAGCACTTCAAAGTCTGTCACTAGATGTATAGCTTACATGGCCTTTGCTATCTGCTTCTTGGCTCATAGTTTGCTCCTCCATGTCACCTTCTCAATTACTGTTTTTGTGATGGTCTCATTAAGCAAAGGCAGATACTGTAGAAGGTCACAGACTATCCATTGTAACTCTGTTCACCTACTTGCTTAGTATGGGCTTGATGACACCTACTAGATGATTAGGAGAGCATTGCTCTGACATCCCTGTATGGAAACAGGAAATAAAACAATTTTTTGTTTTTACAAATCTGATCAGGATTACAATAGGGCAAAGTTATTTTTTGTAAATGTCGGGTGCCAGAGAAGGTCTTTAAAAAGACTTCTGTGTCCAGCTGCAATACTAACCTTCAGAAATCTTTGTCTTGGCAAATCTATTCATTGGTCTGTAAACTCAGTGGGTTAACTTTTAAAAAAGCTTATGTTATGGTTTGACTGCGGCCGGCAACCCCGCCGGGGTGCGGAGGAGAATGGAAAGAAACAGGCAGAAAGCGGTGGGTCGGGATAAGGCCAGTTTAACAGAACAGCAAAGAAAGAGAACAGTAACAACAACGATACAGATAAGGAGAAAACTCAACACAAACTGCACAACCTCCACAACTGCTGCCCCGCTCCTGAGCCGCACGGCACATGATATGGAATACCCTGCTCTGTTTGGCCAGGTTGGGTCAGCCCGACGGCTGTATCCCTTCCTGGATTCCAGTGAAAATTAACCCTGTCCTGGCCGAACCCAGGACAGCTTGCCATTCTGGTTGCATACACTTTTGCACATAATCAAGTCATTATCAAATATAGTGGAGTCATCCACAAAACTCATTTGCATTTGTATTTACAGAGTGATTTAAACCTAATTGCATGAACAATCATTGTTTAAATATTGAGAAGTTATTAAGAGAGAAAAATACATTCTTAAATCAGGCGCCAGTTTAATTTGTTAGGATCCAATGTGTGAAGTGCCTGGAAAGGCTGCTGTATGATTCTTGGTTATTGATTTGCCAACTTCAGAAACTTTCAGAGGTATATTATAATGTCTTTTTAATTCAGTATTTTGTAGAGCTTCTAATAATGCTTTCTGTGCTTTACTGTACAGGTCAGTAGCAGTGCCTAGAATAAAGGCACCCTAGAAGAAGCTTATTCAATCTGCAACAAATATTTTTAGTTCTGTTTACAGTGGATTATGTTGCACCTTTTGTTTTGGGAACTTGCATCAGTAATAAATTACTTGGAAATTATGTATGATAGATAACCATTCAAAGGAGAAGACAAAATCAGGCTTGGCTGTTCTGTTCTTTTGTTGCATGTGATGAGCATCTACAAAGCTCTTTCTTACACTTTGAAGTTTTCTTTTTTTTAGTGCAAGTGGCCGAAGAAGTGGTCAAATTACTAGAATTAAAATTATATGTAAGACATTTTGTATCTTTCTGGTGTCATTGTATTTCTCAAGTCTGTTCTGATTTAGAAGGTGAGAAAAACACCAAGAAGGTCTTACCTTGGTGCCTCAGTCCTTCTATTAATTTCTCCATTTCTTCTGTTTGGTCTGTTTGCATAAGGAGGAAAGGTTACATTTGGCTTTCAGGGAAAACTGTTTTTTCTTTTTATAACCAAAAAGCCAATTCCAAACAAAACTCAGCATCTTGAAGAAGCAAAAAGGGCTCAAACTTTTGTAATTCTGTGTTACCTTTTCGCTTGCATTTACTCCATGAGCCTGCTGCTAAAATACTGTGTTCTTCACAGAGCTGCCATGGTGTAATGGTATCTTCCAGTCATTTAGCAAAAGAGTTCAGAATTTTAACGGTTCTTTTGTTTTGTATTTTACAGGCAGATTTTAAACTGATGTGTGATAATGCAATGACTTACAACAGACCAGATACTGTTTACTACAAGCTAGCCAAGAAGATACTGCACACAGGCTTTAAGATGATGAGCAAAGTAAGAGACCTATTAAAAACAAAAAGCAGAAACTCTTCGGGGTTTTTTTTCGTCATGCTTAAAAGGAACATAATTAATAACAATGATAAAGTTATTTCATCCATCTGTGATTAATTTTAGCAGTGCCTGTTAGTGCTGCTGTATTTAAGGGCTTGATAGCATTCTTATTATAACCACATCCTTATTTCTGAGCCTTATCTGCACCACTGAAATCTGTAGGAGCTTCTTTCACTGGCCTCAGTGGAAGCAATTAAGATCCATGTATATAAAAGCCAACTTTAAAATGTTGCTTCTGGCTGAAACTTTTAAAACAAGATCTCAGTTTTATTTCTGCATAGGCAAGACAGCTTTTCTTTTTTGAAGGTGGTGGGTGTAGGGGAGGTTTCAGGGGTTTCACAGAAGCATGCGTGCAAACACGCTTTTTACTGAAATACAGTTGTTGGCTTGTAAAATGAAGTTACTTTGGTTAACTGCTGTGTGTATGCGTGTGTGTGTGTGCGTGCGCGCATGTATTGCAGTTATGGTAAGTTTTATGTAAAATAGACAGTTGTCTTTGCATATGCAGTTTTGTTTGTTTGTTTGTTTCTCTCTTGATAGTTGGGCTGCAGAAATTCTGATGCCATGCTACCATGACCAAATCATGTTGCATCGCCATTGGAAACGAGGCATTAAGAACAAAATAAGGCCATGGCCATTCCCATCCCATCCCATTATCATAGCATCTTGGCTATGAGGGAAAGGTTAAGTCCCTGCCGCTCTGTCCTTTCTGATTCTAGGAACGGCTGTTAGCTTTGAAGCGCAGCATGTCGTTTATGCAGGACATGGATTTTTCTCAGCAGGCAGCTCTTTTGGGTGATGAAGACACAGCAGTTGAGGAACCTGTCCCTGAAGTTGTTCCTGTACAAACAGAGACTACCAAGAAATCCAAAAAGCAAAATAAAGAAGTTATTAGGTAAAGGTTTTAATGGGCATGCTTACTGGTTTGTTGCAGCTTTTGTAGTGTGAGACAGCAGTAAAGAATTCAGGAAGGAAACACATTTCAGCTTTTCTCCTTGTGGTCCATGGGATAAATGGGCAATTTTATTGTATTTTATTTATTCGTTTATAGAACTTGTTTGATAATGCGCTGTTTCCCAACTTGAAACAAACAATTCAAAGAATGACTACACATTCTTTTAAACACTTACAGTTAAAGTATGTATATCCTTCTTTATATCTGTACTAAATGAGTAGTTTCTTCTCATGATGCTTTGAAATGTTCTTTAATTTTTACCATAGCCACAAATATCTTTGTGTTTTGTCCCATTTTTCCTCCTGCCCCTCTAAAACGATTGACTGTATCAAAATCTAACAGAACCTTTCTGGGAGGGCAAAGTGGCCCAAAATCAGTCAATGATTTTATTCAAGTTTAGTCTTACCTGGCAGGATATAGAGGTACGTGATATTATTTCTGGAGCAGATGATAACATCTTCCCAATGAAATCTTATTAAACTTCTTTGTAAAATACGTTGCTACTGCAATAGCTAGCTTCCAACTAGTAGGCACCCCTGTGTCAGTAAGTTGTGTTTTTATAGCTATAATCCAATTTTAGTCAAATTAAAGGGCTTTATTTTCTATTTTATGAGGAGATTTTAGCAGAAACTGTGATTTACAAGCAAATTATGTTTTTCAGTGTTCTTACATAGACACCCTTGGATAGATACTGAATTTAAATTGTAGAGCATTTATTTTATCAACTGGAATTTTAGGAAAATAAAACTAACAGAATTACTAGTCATATATTAAATTATCTGATCATGTAGATGTATTCTGCAGGTTTCTTTCTTAAACATTCAAAGTAAAATAAAAAAAGGGAAATGCAGCTTGTTATTTCAAGTTCATGCTCTCTCTTTTTTGTTAAAAGTTAACTTTGGCGTTTTAATCAGCCACATTTTTTGTTACACTTGAGACATTTTCGTAATCCTGTTTAATGTCTGATGAAAGAAGCAGTATTTTAATGTAGTTGTTTTGTGGAAATAGGAGACTGCAATATGTATCTTCAAAAATAATTTAAAATTGAGTGATTTTTTTGGCTGGATCTATTCTAATGTCAGCATACAGAAACGTATCTTGCTGTATCATGGAGAATTATTGAAGTGTAATTTCTTCTTTGTTTAATGGATTGTGTATAGGAATTAACTGAAAGTACCTTTCTGTAAACAAGACTTCATTGGCGGGGTGGGGTGGTGGTGGTCTGTTTTTTGTTTAGTTGGCTTTTTTAAAAGATACGATTATTTGATTTGTATGATGCCCAAAATAATAGATCTTCTCTTCTGATTAATTCTTACATGAACTCCATTACAGGAGTAACTTTGCACTTTGCCACTTTTTGTGTACTCATCTTCAAATACAGACAGTTAATAGAGCAAGAAATTGAGACTGCCAAGCAATACAGTCTTTAATATCTACCGTAACATACAATTCAGATAGTTAAAAATAACTGACATTTAATTTTATCCTTATACTAGTCTCCTTGCAATCAGTTGTGGTATAAATTTACTTTCCTGTTGTTTTCAATGTTTATATAACTTTTATAGCTGGGATTAATTTGTTTTTTGTAATTAACTTGACCTTTTAAACACTTCTATTTTGGCATCAGTAAGATAGATATATTCTTTTTGATGTACCATAAGAGATTTGGGGGGAGAATTGAACCTAATAGCAGATATTTTTGCCTTCATATTTCACAGTTTAAAACAGTGAAAGAGCTGAAGTCAATGTTTGCAAAGTGTTAAAGCAGTTGAGACCTCTATACTGTAGTTTAAGAAGTGTCTTGATCATTTGGGCATCCTAATATCTAAGTAGTTTTTTAAAATTTTGTCCAGGATGTTGCAGCCTTCTGAACATTCTCTCAAAATTCTTGTCCATTAAATATTCTGTGTGATAGAAAGTACCAGTTGTTTAGGACTTTCCTGCTGTGTACACCCTTTCTTAAAGTTTCAATGAAACAACAACCGTGTAAAACATCTGTCTCATAACAGTATGATCCTGTGATCTTTTTATTGTCTTTAATAGCAAAACTTTCTTGTGTATCGGATCTGAATCTCTGTACAGAGAGAAATTCTTAGCTAAGCAAATGGAAGAAGATACCCCAGGAGAGAGAAATGGATTTGGTGTGAGGAGATGCTCTACCCAGTACCTAAGGTGTTTGGCCCTAGTGTCTAATGTCCATATAATGCCCTGAAAGATTTTAATGTACAAAGTTTATTTTACATATATAATATAATGAAGTCTGCCATATCTTACGATGTCTTCACACTTCCCCTTATAATACTACACTTCTCTGATTTTATATAATGGCTAAGATATGTCCTGTTCCATCTTAGGTATGCTTATTTGTAGTATTTTATTTTTTTTTGGTGGTTTAATGGAAAGAGATCTACTGAAAATAAATGTTAAATTCTATAATTTCAATGAGAAGGAATGGCACGGTTGATACTGATTAGGAATACTAATTGCCAATATTAACAAACATCGGAATTAAAGGACTCCCTGTTAGACTGGGAGCATGTCCTACTTCTACAAACAACTAAATGACGTAATCTTCATAAATACAGCCATTCAGGGTTTTTTCTCAGATTAGAGTTACAGTCACCATTCCCTTATCAAGTAATTTCTTTTCTGCATCTTTATATTTGTAATTTGTGAAAATATAACCTATTCGTGCATGTGGGAGAGTAAGGACACATACAGCATTTGCCTTGTATTAATGCAATTATACTCCCAATCTCTGTTTTGTAATACTTTCTTTATTTTCATCAAGGTACAGAAACAATTAAATTTTTGAAGTTCAGTAGTTTGGTAGTTCTCAGCTGCTGCTGCAAAACTTCAGTTTCATAATATGATTATAATTCCACTTAAATGCTGAAGCAGACTGACACTGGGAGAGGAGTGGGACTGATTGTTCTATTTAGCAAACCCAGAATTCAGCCCTTTGTTTTGTTTTAGCTTTTAATTTCTACAGCTGCTCCTCTTTTCTTTCTTAGTTGCATATTTGAACCTGAGGGAAATGCATGCAGCCTGACAGATAGCACTGCTGAAGAACATGTCCTGGCCCTAGTGGAACATGCAGCAGATGAAGCTCGGGATAGGATCAATCGATATCTACCCAACAGCAAGGTCTACTGCACAACTAAGTTCACAATCCCATTTTGTGTCTGACTATTGAATGCTTTGTTTCATCTTAGGAAACGGGTGTTAGTACTACATTTTCTGAGACTGTAACATCTAAGGTGTATGTTCTGTGTGGAATACCAATATGACTATTATCTATCCTAAATAGGGTGTTCTAAATGGATCTCAAGCTGTATTGTGTGTTGAACATCTTTAGAAATTCACTTGCAGAAAACAGTGAAATGTTTCTCAGTCTTGAATCTGGCTTCCTTAACTGCAAACCTTAGCATTGAAAGTGATCAAAATAGCATCACACGCTTCTTATTGTTGCAACCTCAGAAAAAGCAAACTTTGGCATGGGTTGAAGAGTTATTAGAATTTCCCCCCCAATCTAAGGAATTCAGGAATTTTTAAGTGTTAAATTACTGTTTTCAATGAAAAGTCCAGAACCTCTTGTAGTTTTGTACCTACAAGTAGTTGCTGTCAGCTATAGCACATTCTTGTGTGAGTACAAAATACAGACATCCTTCACTGACTAGTTAAAGATAGCAGTAGTTTGTCCATGTTGGAATTTTGGACAGTGCTAACAACAGGTTTGATCATCTGAAACGTGGTTCTGATACTGTCACGTGTGTTTGGTTTTTGTGCTGTTCCAAGACTTACAAGGAAAAGCTCAGTGACAGTGCAGTTTTCTCAGCATGATCTTTTTATGGGCTGTGATTTTCTTAGCTGTGTGATAATGGTGGATTCCTTCATTTACTTCTTTCTAGGGCTGGACTGAATGCTACAGGCATTTGCTACAGGCCTATGTTGAGTTAGGTTTATGCTGTTTCCCTTGCATTGTGTGCAGTCTTATTACCACCATTATACTTCGTCCTCATTGCTCATTCTGTCATGTACTCTAGTGACCGCTGCAATCAAAAAAACCATCAGGATGTTGCTACATCCTGCATTTTCCACCTATTTTTTAACAGCTGTTGCAGAAGAGACATTTTCTTTGAAGCACTAATGGTAGTAATTTTGTCTTCAAACTTAATGTCTATTTCTTGGACAATGGCCCTTGTTATGCAGTCACCTTAGGCTCAAGAGGATTGGGGAGTAAAGCCTTAAAGAACAGTGGGAGAAGGTTCGGCTTCTTCAGTGTATTTCTGTTTCTTTGGATAATGAGAAGACTTGCTAGGATTGAAGGCTATTTAAAACCTCCAAAGTAAGAGTGACTTTTTAAAAACCCTTTAAAGCAATACCAGTCTTTTGCTAATTGCTGGCATTACTGAAAAGGCCTTTCATGCTGATGCATTCAGTTTTGCAGTGTTCAGGAAAGAGTTGTTCTAGGTGTGCAGCTCTTAATTGTCTAGGTTGTTAATCAGCTAGACAACCCACTGCAGATTTCACTGAATCTAGGTAATGCTGACATGTTCCTAGAGTTCAGCTATTGTTAACTTTTGCCATCACTTGAAGGTGTTGTTCCTGTTCATTCTCTTTCCAGCTCTTGTCACCTCTGTTTTTATTATATGTCAGCATTAGCTTTCGCCTTACGTTTGGAGACAGTTTTAAACTTTTTAAGAGGGAGAGGGGAAAAAAAAAGAAGAAAAAAAACCCCACAAAATAGGGGAAAGATTTGTTGTTCAATTTACTTCGAAACATTTACTATTATTTCTTTAGGGAGAGCATAGTTTTAGTTTTCCATCTTTACTCGGAAGTGGCAGTCTTTTTTGCATGATTAGTGTATAGTGAGTTTTTGACATCAGCTAAGTTTGTTGGATCAGTTTTGGCTCTATTTTTACAGACCCCAGTGTGTTCTATTGTCTTTCACATCTCTGGCAGTCTTTTTAGCTTGTGTTTGTGTGGTCTGATAGGTCTGTCACAACACTTCTTCCTCTTTTAAGAATATGGTAGTGCATTCGTGAAAGTACTTGTAATTACAGAAAGTTGTGGGTGAGATGAAAACAAGCAGGTCAGTCTAGATTTGAAAACAGAGAGGTAGATTGTGGATAGGAGTTACAGTTCTGCTTCCAAAAAGAAGGTGTGTTCTAGGCTTGGCAGTCAGAAAATCTAGCTCCATACTAATTATAATGGAATTGTTTTTCTCTTGGATGCAAACTTTAGATGTGATTTAGGAAGATGGAGTTGTATATATGACATACGAACTTTTAGTCCTAAGTCTTCTGTTCTGAAGCATTTGCTAGGCGGTGATAAATAGTTGTGACCCAAGATTCTCTGTATTAAAAAGGGAATACCAGAGTGCAGGGTCTGAATACAGCTAAAAATGTTTTTTATAGTTTTCTTTGTAGGGAAGCAGCTTGTCCTTTGAGTTTGGACTGTTTTGAATGATTGCTTATGTTTCTTTGTGGTTCTATTTACAGATTGGTTATCTGAAAAAAAATGGAGATGGGACTTTGTTATTTAGTGTAGTAAATTCATCTGATCCAGAAGCAGAAGGTAAATGCCGTAATCTTTCCAGCAAACATTTCTAATCTTGAATGTTCGAGGAGATTTTTGAAGTCTCAACTGTACATACAGAGCCTGTGTAGTATACAGGAGTTGTTTTAAAAAAAAAAAAAAGAAACAAAGTTATTCTGCAAACCATTTTCCCCAAGAGCTATATTTAGTATCTCCAATATAAGATGTTTCTCTTTGCCTTTCAAATTTTCACTCTTCAAATGCTCTGTTGTACTCATGCTAACAGTAAGATGGTAAAATAACTACAACTTGGAGAACTTGCAAGACAGGCGTTTCCTGCATGTACTCTGTAGTGTTAAAATCTAGTAGACAAAAGGTGAATGAAAATGCTGTAATCCTATGTAAATGTGCAATGCATAGATGCAAATTCAGAATAATCTTTTACCTTTTTTATTTCAAAACTTTAATAGCTGAAGTTCAGTTTTAAGTTAATTGGGTTTTGCTTAATTGTTTTTCTTTAGTTCCTTGATCTTTTCTGTGCGTTTTTGTTTGTCTTACTACTATATGTTATTTATGTTGTCTTATGCTTCCCATGTCTTTTTAGTTTTGAGCTCAAAATGTGGAAGTTTTGAAAGTCTGTCATGAATGAAATGTCATAGTCTCTATGCTGCTGTATATCATGTTGATTTCTTTCTTCTCTGCACCTTTTGAGATTGGAATTCATTCACAGCTTACCTATTGTTGCATTGAGGAATGCATGAACCCTTCTGACTAGCCTCATTTCTGTTGATTTTTTGGTTAGGAGATACAAACCTGTAACTCTATTACTGTCTAAATTCCTTTTCATTGATAGCAAATTTTTCTGGAATGAAACTGAGCATTTTGTCTGCCATCACGCCCTTACCTATTTCTGAAAAAAAAAAAAAAATTTAATGTGATTTAGTACCTCTGAAATCATGTCACTGAAAATTTAGACAGTGACAGTAATGGGAGCAGAGTAAGCTTTCACTGTGTGCTGTAAAGTACTGTACTGCTTCCTGATGTTTCTGTGCTCCAGAATCTTTTTTGTTTGTGTAGTTAATGCTACTTACACTGAATTTACAGCTAATAATATAATCTGCATTTTTGTTGTTGTTGGTGTTTTTTTTTTTATCCTAGTAGGGTTCTAGGGATATACTTGCTTTCTGTTGTTCAGTAATTGAGCTTAATTATCATTAGATTCCGTAACAGTCAGAGGGTTTTAAAATAACTGGAAGTGTCCTAAATGTTCTTGGGATTTTTTTGAGTTTAAAAGCATACTCCAAATTATTTGAGCCATTTTAATTAAGAAGGTCACAGAACTTCAGAAGAAAGAAATATTGCTGTAGCCATAATGGTAATTATCTTAATGAGGTTCTTTATGTGATGTCTGGGTTTCTTTAGACAAACTAACACTTAGTCAACATAAGAAATTTTTTTTATTACTTCATGATATCTAGATCTTGAATATTAGTGAATCAGCTGGTAAAAGAATTTCAGATGCTGCTATATACTTTGAAATAACTAAGTAAGCCATAGATCTTGTGAATAAGTGATGGAAACATATTTACAACATGTATTTGAAATTTAAATGGAAAACCTGAATTACACTTCCTATGCTTAATAAAAATGTACAGATTAAAAGATATTTGGCCCTTATGGTAACTGCAACTTCTTAAAATAGCAAAATCTAAATATTCACCATAAATAAATTTTAAACATGAAATGCTTTACTAAAAGTTATCATCTTCCTTTAAATCAAATTATTAGAGGAAGAAACTCACCCAGTGGATCTGAGTTCGCTGTCTAGCAAATTATTACCTGGCTTCACTACACTGGGCTTTAAAGATGAACGAAGAAATAAAGGTAAATGCCAAAGAAAATGTTTTAACTTTGTGTTAATTAAATGTTTGAGCAATTTCTTGACATAAAATAATTTCATATTATACCTGTCTCCAAATGAAAGTTCACTTGTTTATTTCTATAATATATAATTATTCCATTTACAGCAGAATGCAGTTTTATTTCAATTGACTTTTGTGTATTAAACATAACTTAATTAGGAGTTTATGGATTAATGTTTTGCCTTGGTGTTGTAGCCATACTGTAAGCTTTCCAGTAATGGTACTCCATTTTCTCTGGAGGAGATAATTTTTACTGAGCAACTGCACCTAGAGTTGAGGAAAAAAACCTTTTGGTCACTTGCATTTTTGTATTGTGTGGACAAGGGTTTCACAAACTGCGGATTTTTTTCTAGTATTACTGACTCTTTTAATAGTTTCTATTCTGCTCTTCAGAAACTGGCAAGTAACAGTATAGTAGACACATGCAATAAGCAGAAATATGAAAGGGGGCATGGGGATGAATCCTTTTTTGTGGGAGTGGGGTGGTTACCTTAGTTCTTTATTTTGCAGTAGTGTAAGTACGTTTATTTATGTGGTTAAAATTGTTACACTGATTTTAGAGTCTGGAAGTATCCTTGAGATATTGCTCTTGATTTCAGTTGGAGGAAAAAATATGCTGCACTCTCTGTATCTGTTTCAGAAAACAAAGTCTTGGTTTTTTTGGTTTTTTTTTCTCCCCAAGTGATCTTTTACACTTCTGTTAATCATGTGTCATCTCTTTCTTGTACCTTTCTAGTAACCTTTCTTACAAGTGCTAGTACAGCACCTTCCATGCAAAACAACTCTATATTTCACGATTTGAAATCAGATGAAATGGAGCTCCTGTACTCGGCATACGGTGATGAAACTGGGATACAGTGTGCCTTGAGGTAAGCACTTCCTTATAAGGAGGCCTAACTTCTCTTAGCAATTTTATGAAAAGCAATTTGGACTCAATGTCAACTAGGAACCTCAAAATCCTGTTTTTTAAATTTTTTTTTTCTAGAACTTATTTTAAAAATAACTCATTTTAAAACTTGAAGCTAGCTGTCATCCTGGTTGGTGGGGGTTTTTTGATGGTTTGGGTTTGGTGTGGGTTTTTTTCCATTTGCGGTTTTAAGTTACCCTGTTTTATTGCAAGGCTGTTATGGATCTTGTTATTAGAGTCTTTAACCGCAAGATATTATAGATTGCTAAAGATTTAGCACTTTGCTTTAAACCCAGCATGAAGCAGGTTTAGATATGCCAGTAATAGATTTCAGTGACTTTAAAACAGTGATATTTTTCAAGGAGTTTCGAAACAGTTGAAGCTACTTGAAAAGGAAATGCTTTAAACTTCTCTTTAAACTGTTAATCTTGGAGGAAAAGAATTAATCACAAGCTTTTTTCTTTTCTTTGTGTTTTTTTAACCCACTAGCAATGGTAGTTCAGGTGAAAATTTGCTGGTTGTTGTGAAAAGTAAGTTTGCACATACATTTACTTCCATTTGAAAAAAAAAATAAAAAACAATCCCTCCCCCGTCTTGAAGGCCTTAATTACTTTTCTGAAGAAGCATAGGAGAGTATAAGAACAAGGAAAATATTAATGTAATGCAGCATAGTTGGGGAAAACCATATTGTGAGTTGAAATATTTTTTACAAAAGTAAGTGTTTTCTGTAATGCTTGTATTTCCATTCCTGC